TTAGTGGTTTATTTTCGATCTAGTGATTTTTTATTCAATTGCAATTCAAGATGAATAGTAAATTTCTGATGTATCTGGAGAATTCAAGAAAATAGGGGTTTCTTGATCTAATTGATTGTTCCTTGAGAGTTCGAATTTTTATTAATTTTTGTGGATCGGATACAAAATAGAACACAATTGAATTTTCAGTAGATTGAAAAATAAGGGAAATTATTGCTTGCAATATTTTTTTTAATTATCAATATTTTCACGGGTTTTCAATACCCCGTGGATCAGAAATTTGAGAATTACCATAATTATAACATTCAAGGAATTAACGGATCCATGAATGAAAAGTTGTACAGAAATTTCATGTCACTTTGTGCTTGTTAAAAATTTCAAGTGTAATTTTCCAATAATGTCTCTAAAACGCGGAATTTTTTACAACTCTACATTTACATAAAATTAATATCCATGTTTCAGTGAAAAATAAGATGAAAAAAAAACATCCATGCAGGTCCGCCTGACAATAAAATTATTAAAAAAGTATAAAATTCAATTCGTCCATTCGTTGTGAATTTTTTCTCTCCAATTTCCCGTGATTGTTAAAATTTTGTTTAAAAACAGAGAGTTGAGTGTAATAGATTAAATTTCATATTTCAATGAAAGTTCACTGAACATTCAAAAATTTACACGGAGAGAAATATTTAGTAAAAATTACGGAACTTTCAGTTCACTTACCGATTACGGAGTCGATTCGAAAAATTTAAGTGGCGGTATCGTAATTTTTCACCGATAATTCAGATAAAAATTACGGACACTGCAGAAAAATTCCGTGACGTTAGATAAAAATTACGTGACAGTTCCGTAAAATTTCCGACAACCACATTTCGCTGCAGAATTACGGAAATTACACGTAATTTTTATTCAATATTTCTCTCTGTGTAGAGGGCATAAAGCCGTGGATTCTCTCATTCAATGAAAAAATTCCAATCTCATATAAACTTCCGGAATTCGAATCCGCCATTCCTCTGAATCACATAAAAAAAAAACTGTTCCCAAAATTCCCAAATGGAATATATTTCCCGTATTTCTGTTTTTTTTTTCTTCATTTTCCGTGAAAATTTTAGAAGCACAAATTGACAGTTGAATATGATTTTTCCCTGAAATTCGCAATGTCCAGTGACAAGATGTTCCGAAAAATCAGTGGACTTGATATTTAAAAAAATTGAAATTGATATACAATAAAAAAATTCCGTAATTTAACTGGGAAAAATGTGTGATAAGATTCAAATAATTTTGAGCAATTCCTCAAAATTATTGTACCACTATCCAATGATTTGAATGAAGAATAAAAAAAAGTGATGAAAATGGTATTGCGATAAATCAATTGCGTGCGATAGAAAGAAAATCTTCAGTGCCGATAAATATATTCAAAACGCGTTCCGTTGGAAACAACGCGTCGGGTTTTGATGAACGAGAATGGAATCATGATCGTATCGGTTGTGCGTCAATAGTCAAGACCTGGACGGATAGCGAAAGTCAAGACATTTGTAATTCATATTATTATTGCAGATTGAAGAGTGCATTGCAGATCAAGGGTGAACGATGTACGTCTAGTTGTTAATCTGATGAAGACGCGGAACGTTTTAAAATTCTTTTGTACATTCCCAGTGCATTACCCTCAAAGTCTTTTTTTATTTCCTTCAGAAGATCTCACTATTGTTCATTCTCCTCAATTTCACCATTTTCATCACTTTTTTTTATTCTTCATTCAACAAGATAATAATCATTTCCCCGTCATCATTTTCCCTTTACAAGATTTTCCATCGTCTCCTAGAAGGCAGTCTCGGTTTTCAATAGAATTCGAGAGATAAATAAAAAAAGAAGTTGAATAATATTTTATTCAACATTTATTCCTTGAAGTCAGTAAGAATTTGAGAAAATAATCATTTTGATCAATGATAATTGTTATAGACTCTAAATGAAGACATTGTGATCGTTGGAAATTGAGTTTTCTATTTTTTGAGTTGTGTCGACTCATTATGACCCAATAATTCGGAAATTGTAATTTTTGGAGCGTGGCAACTTTTTCAAACTTCATATCCGATGGAGCGATAATGTCTCTCTCTAATTAAATGATTTTTATTCTCGTCTGGGAGTATTGTTGAGTCCCTAGTCATCAATGAATTTAACATTTATTTAGGTTTCTTAAAAAATCAATTTTTTCACTTCTAACTGAAGAAAGAAATTTTTTTCAATTTTTTTCGATGCTTGAGATGTTTCTTATATATCGCCTATAATTCTTTTTTTGAAAATATTTTAATTCTGGCCCTATCCTATTCCACTTTGATTGGATTTAATTAGGATTAGAAAATGATAATTCCGATGACTACTGTTGAAATAGGAAGATAATTATTTAAGGAATTATTTAAATTAGGAAATAACTGGCGATAAACGATCATTCGTAAATATACAATGCAATGAGAGAGCGATTTCCAGATTTTTTACTCTGTCGTTTTCAGAAGTTGATAATATCGGTAAAATTCACCACAATTCATCGAAAAATCATTCCCGAAAAAAAGCGCTAGCAATCAGGAAATACCGGCCGAATATATTCTAAGGATTCAATCAATTCTTATAACTCTATAATTTGACACTTATTATGCAAGCTTTCCTGTAAAACTCAAACAACTCAACGGATTTCCCGGCATCTGCTGCGGATTCCGTAGTAAAAACACTTCGAATTTTCATTGAAACTCCATTTCCTGATGTTATCCCCCCGAAAAATTGAACGGAATGACACTTCCTTGAGCATTACTGCTCACCAGTCCATGAAGTTTCAATGTTTTTTCTAACAGCCTATCGAATTCGAAAACTGGTGAGAGTTGAGTCAAGCCACCTAGCTCTGTTTCATGAGTAAAATATTCTAAATGAAAAAGAAAAAATTTTATTGTACACACGGCTAATTTACCATCGCACTGAGCAAAACCATTCTAGGTGTATGAGTTTGAGAAGGAGTGGAGTAAAGGTACTGCCAGCACGAGAAAGTCAAGAGCGTTTGGGATCCGCCAGTTAGCCTACTTACTGTACTTACAAATACTGACATTCACGGAGTTAAAAGTATGATATTACGGTGCATCTTCAAAACCATTAGCAATTAGTGTGAAGGAAAATGCTTTGACTTTCAGTTTTATTTTTCATACCGCGAATAAAAATGATAAATTTTGTCATTAGAGATAATTAGATGGAGGTATGTCGTGGTTGGAACGAATGGGGATTAGTTCCTGCGAATTTCATTAACGAAAATTCAAGATAGAAATGACAATTTATTTTAGAATGAAAAATAAAGGATGATTCAATCGATGGTAATTGAAATTTTTTCATCCCAATCATTATGTAATTTGCAAAGCCCCTAGGACGTTTAGAATATTGCTCGTAATGTCTCTCAATCTCGTCAGTTTCAAAATATCATCCCACTTTCCAACGCATGCCCCATGGCGCGCCCCAAGGATGGAGAAAATCGTTGACTTTCGTTTTTTTTAATATTGAAATTATTTTTTACCGCTAAGCAAGGAATTTCACTGATTTCAATATTAATCGCAGATTGATGGTAATTGAGTTTAAAAAAGAATCCATGGGACTTCACATTTTATGAATTTTGAAACTGTTATCTTGCATGTATTGCAAAAAAATTGTAATTTTATTGTTCTGTCAAAAATTTCAAGCAGAAAAAATTTCTTATCTCCAATTTATCCATTAATTTTAAGATTATTCGAGTGGGATATATAATTTGTCAATGACAAGATTGTTTGAAATTACAAGGGAGTTTGAATGGCAATTGATAATAATTTTCAGAAGTTAGTTGTGAAAACTGAGACAACAATTTCCAACAATGCAATCAATTCTAATTACAAAGGACGGAATAATATCAGATTAGTGATCGCCCCTCCCCCAGGATCAATTCTCGTTTTAGTCTAGACATGTCGTTAACCCGAGGCCCTTTGAATTCCGCGCATGCGCGGTATTTTCCCGCGGAGGCAGCGCATCACCAGTCAAATAAACAACACAACCGCCTCTTCCCGATGAAACCGACTCGAAGCCCCTGGAAACCCTCAAAAAAATCCGCAAAAATTTCCTCGAATACTCCCAACACTCTAATCCCTCCCCCCAAAAAACTAGGTCAAAAAACGAACACTAACCGAACTTGTTATTCCCGCGTGTCGCGTGCGCAGCCAAAAACAGCTGACTCTCATCGCGTGAATTCAACTCAGGATTGCCGGTGCATTTCCCAGTTTTCATCAGAAAATCCGTAACTTCCGGGTCCCTCAGACATAACATCACGCCAAAAATTCATCCCAATGTATTTTTCACTTGAATTCCCTTAAAAAAAAACCGCCCCTTCACCCGACAAATTCACCGAAAAATTCAAACCCATCTCCCGCGCAATTCAAATATTTCAGCCAATCGACCGTAAACTCACACCCTCGCCCGCTATTACATAAGTATCCAAATGCTAATAACAGATGAATTAAAAAAATCCCTCAGCCGAACTGCCAGCCTCTCCCAAATAATAAGAATAAATCCCAATAAATTCTAGAAAAATCTAATGCATTTTAAACACATTCAGTCACTAGTGATCAATAGTATGAGCCTATTCATAACTAGGTTATGTCAACCACTAAAAAGCCCTGAACCTCTTGAAAAGATGACAGAAACTCCAAGTGTCAAGTGCTCGAAATAACCCAAAAAATTTCCCCGATAAAAACGCCACTGATTGCATTCCATTTCGCGAACTCATGACCCTAGAACTGCGAGATTACTAGAGAATGATAATCAGCTGTTCATGTTTTCTTTCAAAACTGAAGCTGCTCAAGGAGTTTTTTAAAGAAAATGTCAATGACATGGGCCCTTAAATCATTCATAATAATTCAAAATGACTGACAATAAAATTACTTATTGTGCAAGTGATGATAAGCGAATTAATAATAGATAATTGATAACTGAGATATTAAACTTACTTTACACTGTTGCAAAAAATGATTGAATGAAGGTTGATTATCCTGAGGAAACTTAACACAGCCAGTGGCAAATCTCCTCTTGAAGTGGACAAATTTAACCGATTGTTGGCACAATTTCTCAACCCGTGAGCACAGTCTACTCGACCCTATACACGCCATAGCGAAAACCGTTGTGAGGAACACTGTGGTGTACCACTGCTACTTACTTTCAACGTAACACAACGAATGGTTCAACACTTTAGTTTGAGCCCCACTTTTTCCCTTTTAACCCATCAAATTGTCCCTCTCCTTAATGGTTATATCGGGCTCTCCCCACCCCAACACTTTTTTGAGGATATTTAAACCATCCACGTGTAGTGGTTTTACCCCCTACCTCGTGGACCATTCTGCCACCACCATTCCTATTTTCATGACGGTACTTGTCTTTCACTTGTCCCAACAAGGTAGACTGTCCAGTCACGCGTTCATTCCTGCGAACCTTCAAGTGCTTCTCCATCACAGAGTCTCACATTTTTCATTCTATCGTCGAAGAGAGACTGTTGATAATGTCGGTGTTCCTCATAATTACTCGAATCTTTTGAAGGTAGCCACGCCATCTTCTGGAGTAAATTGCTAAGTCGGTAGAGCAGACTGGAAAATTGGTTCTACAGAAAAAAATTACACGTCTCATTTATAAATTATTAGACGATAATGTTGATAATTATATTCTAAATAAGATTCTAAATTAAACAAATTATACAACAATATACAATATACAATATACAATATACAACATACAATATACAAAGGCTGCGAGCTGCTGCTGAAATTGAGGAAGAATCGGAAGTAATTATTTAAGCAATTATATAAACAATCATCAAATGATAATTGTGATTTTTATTTGTATTCTCCTTCGCGTCGAGAAAATAGCTGAAAAATTCTTATCGAGAGATACAGAAGTCGATGAATTCCTGGATCAATTCTTGACCCGAAGAAAGATAATGCATTTACGAAAGGTGAACGTAGACAAAATGCGAGAGCTTAAGAGGAAACCGAAATCGTCAAAACTGAAATACAAAAATGTTTCATCAGGAATATTATGGAATGATATGACTTTTACATGACCTGCATACAGAAATAAATTTATAGAAGTTTTCAAAAAGTACACTATCCACTCTGGGTCGAATTTAAAGATTATTACCACACACTGAAAAGACACACAAAACATTGGCTTTTAAAATTGTATTTAATCGGTAAATACTGCATATACATATTAGGCTATGGTGCATTTACCTGGATATATGAAAGTATTTTTGAATGAACCTTTTTGTTTAGACTCATCTCGCTCATCCCACAGGGTCGTCCCATCGCAGGCACAAATTCTTTTCGTATTTTCGAAGACTCCTGATGATCTCGCGATAATTCCACACGCTAGTCTGTGGAATAAATTATTAAAAGTGTTGAGTAAAAGCAATACGAAAGAAATCATTCATAAACTCACTTCTGGCCACTATTTCCATCGAATTTTGATGTTGAACTATTCCCCTTGTCCAGAACACCGGTCGCCTCTGTATTAGCCTCAACCATTTTCTCTTCACTCTCCAATATCTCCTTTCGTTTTCTCAATTTAGTCAATAGTACATTGATACAGACTCGTCCTTGAATCCCATGATTGTCTAATTCTTTCCTTACGTGATATAGTCTGAAAGGCATTGGTCATATCAAAAGCCTGACTTTTTTCTGATAACGTCTAAGCAGCTCCCTTCGCAGATTTTGAAATTTCCTTACCCAATTGTCCAGCTTTTTACCCAGCTCCGTTTTTCCTGCATCCTCGATGACTCCCTGTACCTTTTCATTCAATCCCTCCAGCTTCCCTTTTAATAACTCTGAGCTCTTCGATGCCTCAGATTCCACTGACTGGAATTTTTGACGAGCTGATTTCAAAGCCTCCGACTGCTGATTATTGTGTTTCAACGAATTAACAGTTATTAAAAATATCTTCACAAATTTGTCAGTGATGTTTACTTGATTTACTTCAATAATAATTTAATATCGTACTTACTGTTTTGGGCGGAGATATAAAATACGACGTAAATTTAAGGCCCGGATGGATTATCTGGAAAATATAA